AAAACAGATCCAGGAGAGATAAGTTTAAAAATTTTGGCTACCTGAAAGCCATAATCAAAAAAAGAGCCTAAACATCATCTTTCAAGAAATTATCAAGGAAAATTGTTCCTATATTCTAGAACCAGAGGGTGAAACTGAAGTTGAAAGAATCCATCGATCACCTCCCAAAAGAGATCCCAAAATGAAAACTCCCAGGAATATTATAGTTAAACTCCAGAGTTCTTAGGTGAAGGAGAAAATTGGAAGGAGCCAGAAAGAAACAATTCAAGTATCATGGAGCCACAGTGAGGACACAAGATTTAGTAGCTCCTACTAAAAATCAGAGGGCTTAGAATATGATATTCCAAAGGGAAAAGGAGATAGGATTACAACCAAAAATCACCTACCCAGCAAAACTGAGTATGATCGTTCAGGGGAAAAAATGGACATTCAAGGAAATAGAGGACTTTCAAGCATTCTTGATGAGAAAAACAGAGCTGAATAGAAAATTTTACTTTTAAATATAAGATTCATGAGAAGCATAAAAAGGTAAATAGGAAAGGGAAATCATAAGGGGCATAATAGGTTAAACTATTTGTATTTTCACTTGGGAAGACAGTACTTGTAACTCATAGGAACTTTCTCATTATCAGCGCAGATAGAAGGAGTACATATAGACACATGGCACAGATGTGAGTTGGATATGAAAGGATGATATCTAAAAAATAAAAAATAAATAATTAAGGGGAAAGAGGGGAATGTACTAGGATAAAGGGAAAGGAAGAGGTGGAATGAGATAAATTATCTCACATAAAAGAGGCAAGAAAAACTATTATAGTGGAGGGGAACTGGGGGGACATGAGGGGAAATAAGTGAAATTTATTCTCATCAGAACTGGCTCAGAGAGAGAGTAACATACCCACTCAATTGGGTATAGAAATCTCTTACCTTACAGGAAAATAGGGGAAGGGGATAAGAGGAGGGGGGTGATAGAAGGGAGGCAGATTAGAAAAGAGGATAGTCAGAAGCAAAACTCTCTTGAGGAGGGATAGTGTGAAAGGAGAGAGAGAATAGAATAAGGGGGGATAGAATGGAGGGAAATATGGTTAGCAATAGTAACTGAAAAAAAAATTTGAAGCATCTTTCTCTGATAAAGACCTCATTTCTCCAACATATAGAGAACTGAGTTAAATTTATAAAAATAAGAGCCATTCCACAACTGATAAATGATCAAAAAATATGTTTTCAGATGAAGTAATCAAAGTTATCTATAGCCATATGAAAAAATACTCAAACTCACTATTGATTGGAGAAATGCGAATTAAAACAATTCTGAGGTACTACCTCATACCTATTAGACTGGCTTATAAGACAGAAAAGGAAAATGATGGATGGTGGAGGAGATGTGGGAAAAATGAGATATTAATCCACTGTTGGTGGAGTTGTGAACTGATTCAACCATTCTGTAGAACAATTTGGAGCTATGTCCAAAGGGCTATAAAACCAGGTATACCCTTTGACCTAGCAATACCACTACTGGGTCTATATCCCAAAAGAGATAACAAAAACAAAAAGGAAAAGGACCTCTATGTACAAAAATATTCATAGGAGCTCTTTACTGGGGGCAAAGAATTGGAAATTGAGGGGATACTCACCAATTAGGGAATAGTTGAATAAATTGTGGTATGTCATTGTGATAGAATACTATTGTGCTATAAGAAATGATGAACAGGATGCTCTCAGAAAAACCTGGAGACCTACATGAGCTGATGCAAAGTGAAATGTTCTTACAATATTGTAAGATGATCAGCTGAGAATGATTTAGCTATTTTCAGCAATACTATTATCCAAGCCAATTCAGAAGGACTGATGATGAACAGTGCTATCCATTCCCAGAAAAAGAACTGATGGTGTATGAATACAAATTGAAGCATATATTTTTTACTTTCTTTATTTTTCCTGAGAGTTTTTTTGATCTATGTTTTCTTTAATAACATGACTATTATGGAAATGTTTTACATGACTACACATGTATAACCTGCTTGCCTTCCTAATGGGGGGCAGGGAGGAGAAGAGGGAGGAAGGGAAAGAATTTGGAACTCAAGGTTTTAAAAATGAGTGTTAAAAACTTTCAACATCTAACTGGGAAAAAATAAAATCCTAAATAAAAAAAATGTTCATTTTATCCTACCATTCCCTCAAGCTATTATCCTATATATCTGCCCAATTTCATGAACTCTCAGAAAAAGCTGTATCTCCTTGCCTTCAAGACTACTTAAATATTTCATTTTTAAATCTTCTAAAATCTAGTTTCTAACTTCATCACCGCAATGAAATTTCTCCTTCCAAAATTACTAACAATCATTTAGTAGACAAGTCCATTTTTTTCCCGCAATCTTAACCCTGTTTTATTTTTTTCTTAATCTATTTTTAACCTCTCTGCAGCATTTGACACTATTGACCTCCTTATCCTCTCTGGATTTTCATGACACTGCTCCATCTTGGTTCTGACTGACCAGTCTTCAGTCTCCTTTGCTATCTCATGATCTGTAACCAACTTCCTAACTCAGTGTATCCTAAGGAACTCTTCTGAACCCTCTTCTCAGATCTCTCTGTACTTTATCTTTGTGACTTCATCAGCTCTCATGACTTTATTTTTTTCTATGCAGATGACTGACATCTTTATGTATCTCTCTGTACTTTGTCTCTCTCTAGAACACTAAGACTGTGTCACCAAACAATCTTTTAGACATTTCAAATTGGATTTCTAGTAAACATCTCAAATTCAATATCTTAAAAGTAGCATTCTTATCATTCTCCCCAAATTGACACCTCTTCCGCAGTTCCCTATGCCTGTCGATAATACCACCATCACACAAGTTGGAGACTACAGAGTAATCCCTGGCCCGTTTCTGTCTCTCTGTCTCTCAGATATTGTCAAGTCTACTACCAAACATCCCTTACATTAATCACCTTCTCTATTCATATAGCCACCCCTTAATACAGACTTTTGTCATCTTTTACTTGAATTATTACAATAACCTCCCAATTGGTCTCTTTACTTCACAGGTCTCCTCTCTCCAAATCATCCTCCACTCAGTTGCCAAAGGGATTTTGCTAAAGCACAGGTCTAACCATATCTACTTTCTATATATAAACAGCAGCTCCCTAGGTGGCATAGTAGATGAAAGACTGGGCATGGAGTTATGAAGATTTATCTTCCTTAGTTCAAATCCTGTTTCAGACACTTACCACCTGTGTGACACTGGGCAAGTCACTTAACCCTGTTTGCCTCAGTTCCTCATCTGTAAAATGAGCTGGAGAAGGAAATGGCAAACCACTCCAGTATCTCTGCCCAGAAATCCCCAAAGTGGGGTCACAAAGAGACAGACATGATGGAACAACAACAACAATTTCCTCTAAGGTCAAATATAAATGCCTTTGTTTGGTGTTTAAAACCCTTTACAACCTGGCCCCACCTTTAGAGTGTTATTATACATGACTCCCATTCAAACACTCTAAAGTCTAGTCATATTTGCCTTCCTGTGGTTCCTCCCACTCTACCTTCCATCTCCATACCTTTACATTGGCTGTCACCATTGGCTGCAGTGGATTCTCTTCTAGGTTCTATCTTTTAGAATCTCTAGTTTCCTTCAAATCTCAGCTCCAAATGCTAATACTACCTCTCCAGAATTATCTTCCCTTTCTTGTGTTTAGGTTTATGAGGTATGTATTGTCTCTCCTGCTGGAATTTAAGCTCATTGGGGGCAAGGACTGTTTCCCTTTTCTCTTTTTATCCCTAGTACCTAGAACAGGGCCTGACATACAATGGATACTTAATAAATGCTTCTTGTTTGTTGATTCATTCATGTACACTATGTTCCTGCCAAATTGTACTGCTTTTTGCCCTTTCTCCTCATCCTGCCCTTTCCCCTTTACTTGCTTCACTCCTGAGGTGTGAATAGTCTCTATGCCACCCCTATCTCTGTCTAAGTTCATTCTTCTTTCAAGGCTCATCTCAGGGGCCACCTCCTCCTTGAAGTCTTTCTTGACCCCTTCCCACAACCAGGTAAAAGTGACTTCTCCCTCCTCAGATTTCTCACAATACATTGCCCGGATCTCCCTTTGTTCTTATCTCACATTTGTATCCAAGACTCACTCCCACTTTGATTTTAGCTTCATGAAGGCAACAATCTTACCTAAACATAACTTCTTTCTTTAACCCAGACCAAAAAACAAAGTACAAAGGAGTTTGTTTAAAATGCTCATTGATTTAAAGTTTTTTTTAATTACTTTAAGGAGTCAGAGATGATCCTTATTCAGACTCCTACTTCTCCAACCTTACCCAATTCAGGGATTTGGACTGAAGGAGAGGGGGGAAATAGTTGTATTTCAATATGGCCTAGAAGAGGGCAGCTAGATGGTGCAGTGTATAATGTGCTAAGGCTAAAGTCAGGAAAAGCTGAGTTCATATTTGCCCTCAGATACTTGCTAGCTGTCTGACCCTGGGCAAGTCACTTAACCCCCTCTTTGCCTCAGGTTCCTCACTTGTAAAATGACCTGGAGAAGGAAATGGTAAACCACTGCAGTATCTTTGCCAAGAAAACTCTGAATGGGGTTATGAAGGATTGGACATGACCATAATGACTGAACAACAACAACCACAGTGTGGCACATGATTTGCATATAGCAAATTCTTCACCAATATAAAATGAATGAATGGTGAAAGAAAGCCATGAATTGGGAATACAGAGTAGGGGATTGTATAGGAAGGAAATTCATGTGGTTATGTGACTACAAGGGTAGTTGGGAGGAGCAGGGTTCCAAGGGTCAGCATTTGGGGATGAGTGACCTTGAACTACATGGATTGGGGGGCAAAGAGTACCCCAGAGCAAGTGATCAAGGACTAGGCAAAAGTCATGCTCCTAAGACCAGGGTTACAAAGTCTTGTCCCCTTACAGACAAGTCACACCTGATTAATCAGATAGGAGGCCCTTTCCCCAGTTTCCTCTGATAATTACCTTGGCAAAGCAGAGTCAAAACCGAACAAGGTAAATGAAGCAGGATGAAATAGATGAGTATAAATGATACTGGTAGTGTAGTTGGTGACTCGAGTGGTTCATCACCTAAAATACAATTGAACATAAATATCAGAACCAGGGCTCTCACGAGAATCCTTACAGCATAGTTTCTCTCCATCTCCAACTCCCATGCCCCCACTGAGCAGAGAGCAAAGTCACAGATGTGGCCAAATTCTCAGCCCTTCCAGTCATGGCTGTTCCCTGCCCCAACCTTTGCACCCTATAGCAAACAATCTCTCCCTTCAACCAACAGCATTACCATGTCCATATCCCCTTTCTGCTTCCCCAGATCAGGCCACATCACCTGGAGTTAGCCCCATTTGGGAGATACAACATTAGGCTGTATTAATGAGGACACCATGGAGTACAAGTGGGATAGGGGGCCAATTTTGTGTATTTTGGGGATAGGTTTATACTCAGAGGATCTCAGAGATAAGAAGTAACTCAGAGGCCAGTCTTGTTCAACACACACCTGAATCAGAATCTCCTCTAAGACTCCCTACAAGTGATCATCCAGTCTTTGTTTAAAGACTCACAGGAAAGGGTAGTTCACTACCTCCCATAGGGCCCCTTTCATGCTGGTATTGCTCTACTTGTTAGGAAGTTTTTCCACACATTAAGCCTAAATTTGCCCTTTTGCAACCAGTGTTGCAGAAAAAGAAAGACCTGCTGTGGGCCTCTTGGTGCCACAGGGATTTGGGGTTGTTTTTCACTCAGAGCTAGCTTGAAACTGAGAAGATCTGGCTGTGTTATTGCTTCTGTCTCTGGCGGAGATGGGTACAATCTTGTGAACTTCAAAAGACACTATCAGGGTGTCTGGGGGCTAGAGCCCTTGCAAAGATTTGCCAGAAGTCAAACAGCTTTAAGATTATGCCAAAAACAAAACTGGTAAAGTTTAGCACCCTCATTCTTCCAGTTTGGTGATTGTCATAGCCTGGAGAAGACAAGACTTAGGCAGGGAATGAAAATTGTTTGCAGATTTGAAGAACTAGGCTTTGGAAAATGGATTAGACTGTTCTGATTGTCCCTCTGGAACAGAGCTAGTAGCAATGGGTGAAAACTGCAGAGAAGATGATTTAAGTTTGATGTCAGCAAAAACTTCTCAATGATGAAATTTATCCAGAAGTAGAAAGGGCTGCCTCTCCTAGGAAAGTAGCATGACTTCTCATTAGAAGTCTTTAAGTAAAGTCTAGAAGCTCTATTAAATTCAACAAACATTCATTAATTATCTTCCATTCACAAGGCACTAGGTGAGGGGCCAAGAATACAGGCCAAATGAAAATAGGTACCTGCTGGGTATGTAGAAAGACATTTCTTATTCAGAAAGGTATTGGAGCAGATGGCCTGGGAGATCTCTTTCAACCAGGACATCCTGTGATTCCAAGAATCACAGAACTGGTAAGGAAGTCCCCACCCACCCATCCATATATGCACATGAACATGCCCAGTCCAGGGCCTAGCTCTTCACCTGAGACCTTCAGCTCCATTTCAGCTTGCTCTTGGTGAAAACCATCTGCAATGAGACACATGTACTTTCCTGCATCTGAGAATCTCACATTCAGTATCTTCAGGGTGACATTCCCACTTGTGATAGCATCTCTCACCAATTCCGTCCTCCCTCGGTAATCAGGGTCCTGGTCTCCAAACTGATCTTCTCCATCTTGATAGAGATGTACCACCCAAGTGGAATGGAACCAGACCACCTCCATGTGCTGAGCATTCTGACGTGGGGACAGGTAACATGGTAACTCTGCCTCTCCCCCAAGTGAGGCCTGGATGGGTCCTGCAGGTCCAATCACTGAGAACTGCCCTGTTCAATCAGGCAGAAAGAGGTCAAAAAGGAGAAAAGCAGAGGGCAGATGGGGTTAGTTTTCAGTATGTAAAAGGAACAAAAGGAAGGAACCTTGAAGTAGGATAGGGAATGAGGAAGTATCGTGGAAGATTTCAGAAAGAAAGAGGAAGAGAGAGAGAAAGAGAGAGACAGAGAGAGAGAAAGAGAAAGAGAGAAAGAGGTAAAGAAGAAAGAGATAAATTATGAGGATAATGAAAAAACCCTAGGAGGGAGACAATAGGGAAGTTGAGAAAATCCCGAGGAAGGACTAGGAGAATATCAGGTGAATGACTTGGGAGAACATGAAGAGCAGGGCAGGACAGAATCTCTATAGATTCAACTGTCAGCCTTCAGAGTTCCTGTTCCAGGCCAGAAGAAACAAAATACACAGAAGCAAACACTTACCTAAGGTCATTTTGGGCATCATGAGGAGGAGGAAGAAGGCAATGAGAGAATTACAGAGACAGGCTCCTAAAGGATAGAGAATCTCCATCACATCTGTGAGAGAAAACAAGGAAGGAGGAAGAAGCATTAGTGATAGGGAAGTGGGACAATGTCTGTGACAAGAACACAAGGGCCCACTGACTTGCTGTGACATAGGAGGACCAGTGTATATACAGGAGGGCTATGACTGTGGTAAGAATATAGGAGTTAGCTCTGGTAAGGACATAGTAGCTATGATAAGGACATAAAGGAGTTTTAATATAACAAAGATACCATACTGTCATTATGACAAGGAAAGTGGTGGTATCAAAGAGGTGGAAATGACCTTGTGAGGTGGGGGGTGGTTGATCACTCACCTTGAAATGATACCATATTTCCTTTATGGAGGGAGGAGCCCGAGGACCCCTTAAGGATGCCCCATCCACTCCAACTTATATTCATCTCTTCTGCCCTATGTACAAAGAGATACATTCATATGAAGGAACATTTTAGGTAGGTAAAAACCCAAGAATAGTGGAGGTATCTAGGAAAGAAAAAAAATCAAGAAGGGAATTATTCAGTCTGAGGTTCCCCCTGTTAACCAGGTGTGGGTGGAGGCTCTGGTGTCCCAGGACCGCCTTTAGGAGGAAGACAGGATGCTCTGTTGCTAGTTCTCCCTCCTGATTTTTCTACCCAGGGACCAAGGAGCAAAATGTGACATTGAGAGTAAAGGAAAGAGTCTCCTTACGAACTCACCCAAAACTCAGGCCACATACTTACTCATCCCAGAGCTGGCCCCAAGATATATTCTCTATTCCTGGGATTCTAACAGCATCCCCCACTCCCTCTCTTTCCTGTGCACTTGGGGAAAAGTGACTCATAATTGGTTGAGAGATCTATGAGCCCTGAGATCTTTGTCTATGTATACAGTGGCTTGATTTCTGATTGGAGGAAGAAATAAGAAAAAGGCCAAAGAAAAGGAGAGCAAAGTGAGAAAAAGAAGGCACAGACTTGAACAATGACCACCAAAGCCACAAGTACAGGCAGAGGGGAGCAGCATGTTGCTGAATTCCTAATACTTACAGCCCTAAGAAATTGCCAAGATGGACATGTTGAGTAAAATCATTTTCCCCATGGTTAATCTTAGATTTTATCTTGCTTCTGAGTTGCAGAACTCCCAAGTATCGTATATTCTATCACCTAAATTAATCTGTATGGCTTCCTCAATTACCCTTTCATGAATTTGATTTGATAAATGTATTTCCTCCTATCTGTCAATGTCTTACGTAAATGGTATAAGAAAAGCAAACATTTGTATTTTATATTTGATTTCACTCTGTTCTGTAACTGCCTAAGTTGTGGTTCTTTGTCTCTGAACTTTGTTCAGAAATTCAGCTGGTCTGTAATGAGTCACGTTTAGAAATCCAGTTCTCCTGCTGATCCCTGTCCTATTCTTTCCTCAAGGAAATCTGCTGTACTTGAGAGATGCCAAGCACTGTGCTTGGTACTAGTGATGCAAAGAAAAAAAGGAAACAGTATGCCTTTAAAGACCTTACATTCCAGTGATTTCAAACTTCTCCCTTCAATGAAAGCCCCCCAAAAAATTAAATAAATAAATAAATAAATGAAAGCCCAATTTTCTTTTAAAATAGTAATATACCTTTCATGATATTGTTTGACAGCAAGTCGTGGAATAAGTCTCTGAAACACTGAGGTTAAGCATTACCCAAAGGTTAATGGAGAAGCACATGGGGGTGGCTAGGGATGTGATCAGTGCATTAAAAATGAGGAATTATGTAGAAGTAATGTAAAAAATGCCATGCAAAAGAAACATCTGTGGAGAGAGGATTCTGGGAAGATGGCAGAGTAAGTCAGAAAATTACAGGCTCTCAAGATTTTCCCCCAACAAAAGAGTTAAAATAGCACCTCAGGGTGAACAAAGAGTGGGTAAAAATAAATAAGAATAGGGGCACAACATGGGCCTTTCTAGGATAATCAGATATTTGAAGAAAAGCTCAGGACAAGGTCCAGTCCCTGTGAAAAGTAAACACTTCTAGGCTAGGGTCCTCTTTAACAACAAGCCACAAACTCTGGGATTACCAAGGTTGAGAGGCTGCCCCAGCCAAAGAAACTTTTACCTCTGGGACTGAGAGGTGAGTTGGGTGTCTGAGCCAGGGAAGATCAAGGGACTCTCTGCTGACAAGGAACACCAGATGCAGCTGTGCTGCAGAGAGCAGGGGATGAGAAGGAACCAGTACATGCCTGGTGAGTATAAAAGCAGTGGGGTGGTATGGTCCTGCCTGTGGGCACTTACACTTACAGGAGGCTGGAAGTTTGACTTTGATTCCAGTCTAGAGGGGAGAACTGAAGATCTGAGGCAAGAGGCACTATCTCCCATACTCCAGAACTAGAGATGATTACAAAAATTAAGTTACTACCACCAAAAATGCACAAGCAAAGGACAAGGAATCCAACCATAGAAAATGATATTGAAATAAAGATAGGATATTGAACTAGGATATTGAATAAAGAAAAGGATATTGAAATAAAGAAACTCTCTTCTACACCAAAGAGTAATGTCAAATGGTCACCTGCCCAAAAAGAACTTACAGAAGAATTTAATAGGGACTTTATAAATCAAATGACAGAGATTGAGGAAAAACTTAAATAAATAAATAAATAAATAAATAAAGACAATCCAAGAAAACAAGAAAACTATGAAAAGAAAGTCAACCAATTAGAAAAGGAGATCCAGAATCTTAAGGAAGAAAATGACACCTTGAAAATTAGAAGTGTTAGGGGAAGCCAGCAAAGTTAAAAGGGACCAAGAAATAATAAAACAAAATATGCAGAATGGAAAAAATAGAAGAGAAAGTGAAACATCTTACAAGAAAAACAACTGATCTGGAGAACAGATCAAGAAGAGAAAACATGAAAATAATCAGAGTACCTGAAAGCTATAACCAAGAAGAGAATCTTGATACTATAATATAAGAAATATGTGAAAAAAATTGTCCTGAAGCATTAGAACAAGAGGGGAAAGTAGAAATAGAAAAAAAAATCCACTGATCATCATGTGAAAGAGACCCTATAAGGAAAACTCATAGGAACATTATAGCTAAATTCAGAAACCCCCAGCTCACTGATAAAATAATAAAGAGCAACAAGAAGAAAACAACTTATATATGGCAGTGCCACAATTAGAATCACACAAGACTTAGCAAGGGTGACCCTAAAGGACCACAGGTCTTGGAACACTATATATCAAAGAGCAAAAGAACTGGGGCTCTGGCCAAAAACACCATACCCAGCAAAGTTCAGCATAATTCTGAATGAAAAAAAAATGGACATTTGATCAACTGTCAGACTTTCAGGACTTTGTTTAAAAAAAAATACCTGAACTTAATAGAATAAAACTTAATAGAGTATTGACATACAAGAGCCAAGAGAAACATAACAAAGTCCAACTCAGTAACTCAGTGGTGGACAAACTATTTACCTTTTATGTATATAAAATGTATGTCTAAGAATGTCATTAAAAGTAAAATGGTATAGGAATAGCTGAAAAGAGTATTTACTGCATACAAATGGCCATCGAGAGGAGGAAACTACATAAAGGAATTAGATGGAGGAGGAGGGTGGGTAGTTCTGGTAACCTACTTTCATCGGGAAAGGGTTAAAGAGGGAACAATACATATATATCTAGAAGAGTATAAAAGTCTTCTAAATGGAGAACAAATAACATGGTAAGGGGATAGGAAGGAGGGAAAGGATGAGGGAGGAATTTCTAGCAAGGAGGGTGAAGGAATAGGTAAAAGTGGAGTATAGAATTGTGTTTAGATTTATGAACTTGGGAGGATAGGGGCTTAGCAACAGGAGGGCAGGGCAGCAGATAGAAGTAAAGAAGAGTCAGGAGGGATAGGAAATAAGAGATATGCACAAACATAGAAACAAAGATCAGGAGTAGAATTTGTTGGGGAAAGTATATAACTACATACATATGCATGTATGTATGTGTGTGTGTGTGTATATAGCTGGGGGAAAGAAAGGGGAAAAAAGAACAAAGTGAAGAGTGTACCGCAGAGAACAAAAAAAACTTACAAGGAAGCAAAGGAATGATGGACAACTCAACATAATGTGTATTACAGGTTTTCCTGATATGGAAATTTATTGTTATATATTTTGAATCTTCTCTTATCTTCTGCTGTGCACATCACATGCTTTTTTTTCTTACTTTGAATTTAAGTTTCAAAATTTAAGGTTATGATATGTTCCTTTCTCTTTTCATGGTGTTTTATTCCAAAATAAAATTTGGAAAAAAAGAAGAAAAGAAAAGAAGCATCTATGACTGAAAAGAAGGTTGACTGATCTTGTAGGGAGTGCAAATTATGGCAGTGGAGTGGTGGTGTGGTCCAAGTGGAGTCTTTGCTGGTTTGGGCAAGGTTGTCACTCTCTTTTACCTGTCCTCTCTACTTTTGTATAAGTGGAACTACTCCTACCCTTGGACAGGAGTCTCCTTCTTATCTCCCTACTATCTCAGGTAGTATCTGAGATATTCTATATCTCAAATCCCCTCCACTCATTAGGAGTATTTTTTCTTTTTAAGTAACCATGGAAAACAATGGGAAGGAAACTGGTGCAAGTCCCATTTCTAATTAGTTGCTGGGCAACCCTATCCACCACTTCCGATTCATTCATTCATTCATTATGAAGGGTAATTTAGGTATGTCTTCTCTCCATGCACTGGGAAGCTGTAAAAATGGATCAGAAACAGCTAGGTTTATAGAACTTGGACCTGGAGGCAGGAAGACCTGAATTCAAATTTGGCCCCAGACACTTACCAGATATAGCCAATTGCCAATATTAAGTCAAAGTAAATAGATCTAGTACAATGACTAGCTTGGCCCTACATGATGAGAATATAGGGTTTAAAGACCTGAACCAATCCCCATCCTTTACCTGCCATAGCAATTTGCCCTGAGCTCTTTCCTCTGGGGTTGCCTAATTTCTCAATAAGGGAAATAAGCAAACAATTGGTAATTAAACAGAGAGTGACAAGGACTTTCTGATCTAATGCTAGAGTCAAGTCTTTGGCATAAATGCAACCCTTGTTTGCTAAGAAAAAAACAGATGTTGTCCTGAGAACATTAGTGGACTAAAGTGGTTTTGGTTTTCTATTCCAAAGAGTTTTCTGCTTTGAGGGAGGGTTCTCCTGCAAATTTTGTTCTTAGCCAAGACTCTGGGAAATAGGCAGATCCTTCCTAAAAGGAAATAGGGGGAAGTAGAATGAGCCCATCAATGGCTTTTCCCCTTGGTCCAGTGACTGGACTTATTAGAGGTTTTGCCTTCTTCCAAATAAACAGCAAAGGCCTTTGGACTTTAAATGAAAGGAACAATGATGGAGTCCCCTTCTCCAATAAGGAAGGAGTACTTCAGCTAAGAACACTAGATAAAGTCAGAAGATAGACCAAT